CCTGACTGCATCGGCTGGTTTACTCCCACAAATAACGCCGGCTATCCTTTAACGTACCCGGCTGGTTAGGCACACACTCAAATGTCTATTTCCAGATGACCCGATGCTACTTAAAGTTGCCCTTCTTGCTCAGGCCTGGTCGACGGGGCAGTTCCCGGCTGGGTGGTCGCAATGTGCCCCGGCGTTAAAACAAACAAAAAAAAAAGGAAATACAGGCAAATAACCTAAATAAACCTCCTTGTATCAACTCGTCCTTTTTAAAAGAACAAACCCCTAACATCTGAATGGACACGTCGCGGTTAACGCAGCGCCTGGCAGCCGATATTAAGCGCAAACTCGGTGAACACGTTGCGGTAGCGTTAGCTGGCGTTAGCCGCTAAGTCGTCCGGTAGTCGACTGACGGTGCTAATGCTACTGCTACACATAACGGACAGATAATCGATAATCGCCGTATCACCTTACCCGATCAGGAGCTCGGATCGATGCACAGTGTCTACAGCGGTTGTCACAGTGCAAGCGTAACAACACTATACGTACAATATTGACTTGAGAAGTTGGATTATCAGTACTAGGCCGCTCTTCTTCCGCGCTTCGTAGCGGTTCCTCTTGTTCAAATGAGCACGCCGACTGAAATTGACCTATGGCGGCTTCCGTTCAGTACACATTTTCGCTAACTACGCGAGATTACCGGAATCTCATTCCTTTTTTTTTTTTTAAAGTCATGTTTGAAAAAAATAATGGTTAATGATTAAGTTTAAAATGAACAGCCAACAAAAGAAAGTGAGCCTACTAAGAAAAGAACAAATAAATTGTAATTGATTAAATAATGTTACAGTGTATGTATACATTGATAAGGACAGACATACAGTGCGTGGGTGGGGTTTTGTTTGCACCAGAATACGTTTATATAATAAATGCCCTCTGTTGTTTTAATCAAAGATCGAATTAAACGTGTATGCAGCATTTTATATTTTTAAAATTGTAATAAAAAAAAAACAAAAATGTACATATAGTCATAAGCTTAGAAGATTACACATTACAGGGTTAGGATATACAGTAGATCTTTTGTCAGTGTGTATCTTGATGATTTATATGCAAATGAGTCATGTACTGTACCTTTATGTGTTTTATTAGGTGTAATACTTTAGTGGTGGTTGTACAGGAGCGGTGCTGACACATGCTGTACCGTATTCCACCAGCATGGCTGTGTTGCTATTTAAGTGAAGTGAATTTAAAGTTAAAAGCCAGACCCTTATCAAAATAGTTTATTCAACCACGTTCGACATTTGTACACATGACAAATGTTCATTTTGCTCATTAAAAAGTCTAAGGTGCAACATTGTAAACAAAAACCAAAATACAGGTGAGGATCATTTGCCTAAATGGTGAAATAATACAGCATGTAGCACCTGAGATTTCTTGTAGCTTTGTAGTTTTTCAATCAATTTACAGGTTATAGGGACATTTCTGAAACATTTAAGCTCACCTGGGAGTTAATACTGACTACTACTGTGCTTCTAACAGTCCTCAAAGACTTAAGTATTTTGTATTGTGCTTATAAATATGGTGATGTATATGAGAAGGTGCTATCACTATCAGTGACAAATAATTCCTAAATCTGCATACATCTGCATAGTGGAGCTCTAGTCTGGCTCAATGTGTGGATTAAAAAAAAAAGTTTAAAAAAACTGCTTGTCTGTGCATTTATGTTATTTCCCCCTCTTAAAATACTACTCTTACTACTCTACATGCTTAACATAAGAGGGTGGATGAAACTGAAATAGGAAAAGTGAACACCATATAGTGAAACAAGCACTGATCAAATACCAAAATAAACTAATGCAAAAGGTGGAAGCCAGCGTAGAGAGAGGAACTGGCTGTCATTAGTTTTAGCTGACAAATCTCTCCAATGAGTGTGCTCTCCTGCAGAGAGAGGCTGTCCAGAAGGTCATTCTGAAACATTTCTGCACATTTCAAGTATTAAAACACACATCCAAGATTGTCCATGAATCAACACGGAGACATCATGAAACTTCCAATATTTCCAAAACAGTGGGCATGAAGTGCTTTTCGTAACCTGATCGACAGGGTTCATCGTCTGATGAGCTCCAACAATCCTCCTTCTCCTCCTTGTCCCTCTCCTCGTCGGAGTCAACCATTTTGCTGTACGCCTCTCTTCCATATTTGTGGTCAGTCCTGTGACACTCCTCTATGACAGCTTTCTCCCTCTGATCATCTTCACAGTCCATCTGTGAGCTCCCATCTCCAACCAGTGGCCTTGTTAATCTCTCAGTTTCTGAGGTTTCCTCCAGGGAGCTCGTCGAAGCCACCGGCGAAGTTTCCAAAACCTCCAACAGAGAGATCTTGGGATGCTGCTCATGAATGGCGATGCAGCTACAAGTCATGGGGTCATTTATCTACAGGGAGATCGCACATGTTATTGTGATACACAGTAACAAACTAGGACTTGACTACATTAGTGAGAGTGTAGTTGTAAACAGGATAAGCGGTTACCAGTGGAATAGCAAAACAATCATGCCATTACTCAACAATCGGTGTAAACTATTAGACATTAGACGACAGCTCACAGAAGACAAAGAAGTCCTGTTGTTTCATTTGGTCTCTCACCTGGTGCTTCATATCTCTGAAAATGTAGCTATTACGAGGATCTGGCACTTTATTACAGTAACACGGAGGCCCCAGTAGGCACGCTTTGTTTTCTCCTCGACAAGCACTGGCAGACGAATAAGAGGAAAAAAACATACAACACCCATCACAGATATAAGATCAATAAAAAAACAAACATGTACATTCATGTTTTCTTAGCTTCAATGTCCACATCAACATTTTATGAGACAACAACACATTGGTGTGCATTTTAATTTAATATCCTTTTTATCTTCACTCTGTTCACACAGTTTTAGCTCCCCAGTACCGAATAATATTTCTTTGCTTGTAAAAGTATTTCCGGCTCTCTTATAGATCAGACAGAGATAGGAGATGAGAAAAATGCCACATAAGAGTCAAAGACAAGATGATCATCTCACCAGAATGAAACAAGAACAATGCATATTCCAAACAGACACCCTAGTGCCAGCACGACAGGAAGGTACACTGTAAGAGAGAGAGAAATGGGATGAGACACATACACCAGTAACCAATTCACTTATTATGTTGTAAAGACATATCAAATTACACCTCTTGAAAACTCAACCAGAGCTCATCATAATAAACAAAAAAAGTTAAGATGCAATACCGAAAGATTCGACTGTTGTGAACCTCGCAGTGGCATTTTCTCCAGCTCCAGCGGAAGTCACAGCTCGTACCCACACCTCATACTCCTGTCCTGGACTGAGACCCAGCAACTTATAAGTCCTATTTGTACCCGCATTGTACACTAGGAGAGACAAAATGTGAGGTTAAGTAATCAGAGAATAACTGATAAAGACACAGCAAGCTAACAGTAGCGTCACTTTTGTTTGATAATTACTACTTTTCTATATTTGTCATTATTTTACACATGCATAGTGATTTCTTAAAATATAATTGGAACATAAACAAAACTAAGAGTCTACAGTCATGCTATCGCTTCAGTGAGACTGCACTTAGGCACAGGCAGCGCTGCTTTGAGCTAAAGGCTAACGCCACCATGCTAACATGCTCACAATGCTAATGCTGAGGTTTAGCAGGTACAAGCGTTTTCACCATTTTAGTTTAGCATGCAAACATCTGCTAATTAGCACTAAACGTAAAGTACAGCTGAGGCTGATGGGAATGCCGTTAGTTCTTTCAGTTTATTAGTCAAAAACCAAAAAAACACAAACCATTTTCAAATGTGATGGTGCTAGATGAACTGTTTTTACTAATGTTAAGAGTCAGAACTCATTCATTCTGATGGGGTGGTGAATGTATACTATGTACCAAATGTCACGGGAAGTCCATCCAGTAGTTGTTGAGACATTTCCCTCAGAGCCACAAATGTAAACCTAACGGTGCATCACCAAGGTCATTAGGGTACATCCTCTGGGAACTAGGAGTGTCGGTAAAACATTTCATGGCAACCCATCTGATAGTTCATGAGATATGTCATTGTGACTGAAATCTAATGACACATATATCTGATCAATTGTTACGACACAATCTTGGCAAAAATATTTATTTTCCTATGTTTCCTTTAATATTTACTACAAGTGTATTTTATATTGTTGTATTTGTACCTTTTTCACTGTCTACTCCTACTTGGTAGTAAAGGATCACCCCATGCTGCTCGTAGAGAGGAACGGGCTCCCAAATCAGAGTCACATCAGTGGCAGCAATGGAAAGCACTTCAAATGAGGGCACTTTGGAGGGGGCTGAAAAGTGATCAAGAAAGGAACATTAGGATTAGAAGTCTATCTTTAGAGGTCAAAATTAGCTAAAATAGGTCGAACAATACATGAATACTTACTTCCTTCAAGAGAATATCCAATATCTGAGAAAAGGTGGTGGACTCCCTTCCTGTCGGATACTGTGAACAGTGACATTTGGTAGGGTATGTATTCTTTAAATTGACCTGTAGGTGGAGACACACATCAGAGTAAAACAGCCATTTTGAAAATAGCCAAGTCCAACTGCAAAGTAAAAGACCCTGCAATATTTAAACATTCAGTATTAAAGCTGAAAATGTTATCAGTGATAATCATAAAGTGATGACTAAATTATTGTCCTCTGACACTTTCTGGGGCTACTCAGTTAGATGTTTGAAATATTTAAGCAGTGTTGTTGTATAGGTAATATCTTCTAACTACCTCTGGCATTGCTATCAAAGTATCCCCCCAAAAAAACAGACCTTTAAAAATTGCAGTTCTTTGGCTTTTGTTCACTTTGACCCAATCAAATCCTTGGCCTGGTGAACATCCTGCTTGTTTGTATTCCACCACATATTCTTTCAGGTCTTTCAGAGAAATGGAGGGCAGATCCCAGGACACAGTGAGGTTTTCTTTATTCATCTTGAGGTGAACAGCTTGTTTATTTGTATTAATACCTTAGCAAGAGAGAACATGTTTTGTTAGTTCTGCTGAGCCACAGGAAAAAGGAGAAATACAAATAAAGGAATAAGAGAATTAAATCATACAAATAGATAATAACTGCAGAGCAATTTTCCAGCATGCCCAGTCACTTTAAAACAGTGACCATAACCTTAATTATAACATATAGCTCTCTATACTTTTATGAGAATTGATACCTGGTATTGCCAAAGCGAGGTTAGAAGGCACTGTAGCACCATGAGCGTTGTAGGCTGATACATTGACTGAGGTTGCATCTTTTAGAGAGGAATTCCAGTGGCATCGCGTTTCATCACACACTAACTGGCCCTTTGGCTCAGCTGTTGACACATTCACTAACAATGTGGTACCATTAGGGTAAAACTGTGTGACTATATACCCCAGAATGCGACCACAAGCCTGAGCCGTAGGAAGTGTCTGGATGGGATTAAGAAAAGGAGAGAATAGTGAGTGGTGAGTTTGCAAAGACTAGTTAATTGTTTCAACCGGAGAATAATGATTGTGGGTAATTTTTTGGACATACCTTCCATATCAGAACACAGTCGAAGCTTGCAGGGGACATCCCACAGTCCCTCCATACATCCAGCTCTCCAACAGGGGCTGAACAAGGAAGGAAAAAGGTCAGCAAGAAGGAAAGAAAACCAGAGAGAGGCAAAATCAGAACCCAGTGCAGGTTTGTGTAACTCAGTGGTTCATAATTTTAGCAGAGAAAACTGTTTAGATTTGACTGGGTTAAAGTTATATGCTCATAGATATATATATAGATGAAAAGATCAATATCACTATCATGTCTGTATGGTAAGCTAAGCCAGTTAGCATACAGACTGTAAAGAGAGCTAAACAGCTGTGGTTCAGTCCAAAGATAACAATATCCGTCCATCAGCACCTTTTAAAGCTCACTTCTTATCTTACTCTCAGCAAGAAAGCCAATATTCCTTTAATGCGTTTTAACTCTGCAGTTAAAACAGCAGCAAACAAACAGAAGAAACCATTAAACAGCAACTTGGAGACCACATCACAAATGAGGACCCACCTGTCTCTAAGCTGATATTTTGGATTGGACTCCAGTTACTCTTCAGGCTTCTGTCACATTCACAGCGAATTTGAAATTCATAGACTGTGCAGGGCTGGGGACTGTCGAACACATATTGGTTATGTAATCGATCCTCCTGTGTTAGAAAAGGAGAACGAGCTTGAGCACGCATTGAGTTGACAAAACTTTAGTCAATCAACAATTTACAGTTTTTCTTGCAAGATTATATCAGGACATGAATTCCTTCATTTATTTATCTTCTTTAGCACTGTCCATTACACAGTGTGGACTATGTTGAAAGGAAGAAAAAGGAAGACAAAATCAGAAACCATAGACACCTCAAACCAGTCTTGGTCTTCCTCAGTCCGATGTCGGACATCACAGTATCCCGAGGTGTGCAGCTGATCACAGCCAGGGGACCAATGTATCTCTAACGATGAACTCTCCTGATTGATCAATGTGATGTTAGGAGGGGGTGGCTTGTCTAGAAACAGAGACAGATACCCAAAAAGTATTTCATTTGAAATGTCACCTAAATTAAAATTGATCATTTTAAGCTAAAAAATTACAAGTTAGTACCAATTTCTTTCCATCAAAACACGCCAATTACTTTAATCTTTGTTGTCAGGAAGGTGTCAGGTACCACTAATTATTCTTATTGTTGTTGTTGTTGTTGTTGGTGTCTGACTCACTGATATCTGCTGTATTGAACACAACCTCCTCAGATTGGACAGAACCGTACTGGTTCTTAGCCTGGACCCAAACACGAAGCTCATCGACGCTGGAGAAGTGCTCACGAGGAATCAACGCGTTCAAGTTGGTCCCGCTGATCACATGACCCTCCCTGGAAGACAATACAAAGAAGTACAACAAATTCAAAAGACTTCTCCCATTGTTAGCAGATTATTGTCTTCTTGCCTCTAAACATGTCAGATCACTAAGACAACAAAGAATTTTGTTTGTTTACTTGTTATTCACCGGCTTCCAGTGCAGGCTGTAGGTGGTGACCTGAGGTTCCTGCCTTTTATCCCAAGTACAATAGATGTCTACCAAACAGTTTTTCTCATCACATGGGATATAGCATTCAGGAGGAGAGGGGGGAACTGGAGGACCTGCAGAAACTAATGAGAGAATACGAAAAAAGCAGGACATTATCTCATATAGAAACAATAGATGCAGACTCATTAGATCATTTAGTGGGAAACAAAGCAGGGACGTTAGGGCCAGTGGCACAACATGTCTACAATGAGTCATAACAAGGGGTTGGTACTAACCTACTGCAGCAAACTTCCAAGATATCATGAGTCACAACTGACTTACCAAAGCAAAGAAACGGCTAAAATAAAAACAGTTGCAAGTAAGTGGCCTGAGTTCAACTTTCTAGTGTGCAATTGATCGTTTTATTGTTTAAAAATGTTCAGTTTTAGTTTAGCTTTTATTAGCTTTAGTATTATTCTAATTATAAAATGAAGGCACTTGTCACAGGAAAGTTCAGAATAGGTATTACAATACAAACACACTGACTCAGTCATGTAGGCATCCTCAGCTTAAGACTAAAGACTAAAACTAAAGACATTTCCTGCGTATTTTTATTTTATTTTATCAAAATATGTAATTGTGTTTATTTCAGTTAACTAAAACTTTGTTTAGTTTGAGTTAACTATAATAACCTTCCTTCATAATGAAGTCACTGAAGGGCACTAAAAAAACATCCACTACAAACTCTTTGAACTTTTTTTTTCTTCTTCTATTCATCACAAGACTGCCACCTTTACTCGCTTCTCGTAAGCCTAGACACTTTTAGCGGTGATCAATGTGAAGCCTGCACACAGCACGTTGCAGGGAAGCGCACCGCCAGAACCGTTAAACAGGAAATGAGCGTTGTGATCAGTCTGGGTCCAGATGACTGCACCCTTTCATTGTCATCACTTCCTCCTCAGCACAGCACTGAATTACACAGGGTCAGTGACAAATAAAACTTTAGGGGCATGTGACCTTCTCATTTTAGCACACAGACCTCATTATAAAAAAAACGTGTTAAGATTAATGTAAACACAACTCTCCCCAGTATAGGCATAAACGTGTGTGAAACTGCGTACTTTGTTGGAAAGTAGATTTGTAGGGGTAGACAATGTGTTTAGATCTTTTAATAAGTCATTATTGATCACCAAAGATTCAAATACCAAGGCGTAGACAAGCTCCTTTATATTGCACTGACTTGTGGCCACCTTTTGAATATTTTATTTATTTACACGCTGATTATAGATTTTATATGTAAAGTCTTAGTCAGCAAAGTAAATATAAGTATATAGCTGTTTTATTTTTGTTTGTTTTTTTATGTAGTGGATTAAAAACAGCAATATCTCTCTCTGAATGCAGTGGAGTGAAAGTATGAAGCAGCATAACATAAAATAAACACAAGCAAAGAACAAACAGGAAGAACTGAGCTGATTGAGCAGGGCTACAAGCCTTGAATGAGCCTACCTGCTGGAGCAAAGCAATTTCGCAGGTTGACCAGAAACATGGACAGAAGCCACCTGGTCTTAAGTGTGGCCATTACATTTGGACCCAGGCCTTTACTGCCTGTAGGAAACACACACACACACACA